CTGAACCATAATTAACTACTCCCATGAAATGTAATGGGAGCCTATAACTCAGCCCACTCAGTTTTTGTCATTAAATCACAAACGACACTGAGATCCCAAAATTAATTGGTAATGTTACTCGTATATAATGGTACACTATAATTCATCTCCTTTATCCCATTAATCCAATTAAGACGTTACACAAATTATTTTCTTGTAGTGAAAGGCTGCGTGGAGATTTTGGAATGACCTCTTCCACTTTGTCAGAGCCAGATTACACACTGCAGCTTTACAAAATTCCAGTTCTGAACTTTTTCTAAGTAGTTTATCCATTTGCAGCCTGAACACAGTACATTTACTGCAGGCAGCATGGGCAGGCTGGATCATGTACATGTACAGACACAGTGGATTGTGGCTCCCAGTGTGCGGATGGGGGCGCTATGAGGTCACATGATCACAATGTCAACAAAGCTGTTATGAAGGAATGTCAGCTGTGCTTTCTATACAGTGATGCTGTGGTTGACCCACAGCTATCACATGGCACCTGGGGCAATCACAGCGCCCTGTACCACATGGTTAGCTGTAGCCAATCACAGATCACTAGTAATTACAGCTGTTATGAATGTAACCCATTCATGACAGTTAAAAAATTGCATTGCTGTTAGTGATGATCACTGTAACAGCAATCATAGTGTAACAAAAAAAAAATCCTGATCATCCCCCAGAATAGTACAGTGTTACTATGGTGACACTGAACTACTCTGATGAAATTATAAAAAAAAAAAAGTAAAATGTTTAAAAAAACAAATGAACAAAAAAAATCATTTTTTTTTTTTTTAATTTAACATACTGTCTCCAGTCAGTGTCCCTAATCACCACCACACCAGTCATATGGTGACGCTGCACTGCAATGGTGACTGTGTATATTTAAAAAAAAAAAAATCGCATTCTTTTCTTTTCCAAAACATTGTGGCAAAAAATTACAACTTCAAAACATTTGCAATGCCTCTTACTAAATACCTGACTGTCTACTTTCCAAAAAGAGGTCATTTGGGGAGCATTTGTACTGTCCTGGCATTGCAAGGGCCTCAAGAAATAAAATAGGCTGTCAGTACACCAGGATTGATTTAATTTTCAAAAATATATATCGTAGTTTGTAGACTTATAACAAATTATGAAAAACTTATTTGAATTTTTTTACCAAAGACATGTAGCAGAATACATTATGGCCTAAATGTATGGATAAATTAGATTTATTTTTTAATATTTAACATTAGTAGAAAGTATTTTTTTTTTTTTTTTTTATGCTCAGTCTTTTTTCTTTTATTAATTTAAAACAAAAAAAACAGTGGTGATCAAATGCCACTAAAAAAAAGCTCTGTGTGAAAAAATAATATAAATTTGCGTACAGTGTTGCATGACCGTGCAATTGCCCATTAAATTAGCACAAAAATTGACCTGGTCATTAAGGGGGTAAAACCTTTCGGTGCTCAAGTGGTTATAGTAAAATATTAACATTTGCATATATCTAATTAAAATGTTTTTCAAGCATATAAAGCCCTTTTGTAGATAGGATTTTTACAGCAACTAAGTTGTATTAAGCTTGTAAACAGCTTTCAAACATTTTGGAAACATGTAGGGTTCCCAGTTAGCCAGAAGCTGACCACTCTCTAAAACACCTTTATTATAATTGATTATGCAATTGAAAATGTGTTTATAGTTATACTCCTAGTTTACTATACTTCCTAAAAGTCATTGAAATATAAAATGACAGCATATTTCACTAGAATTTTCCTTCCTGAGAACATGTTTGACACACCCATTTCAGACACTTTTTTCCAAAATTAGTGCTGAGCATATATGTTCTGCTCTATACTGTGATCAATTACATCTTGTTTGTAGATTATTGTACACTTAACTCTTACAGAAACCAAAATGTAAATGCAACATGAAGTACTTATTTCAGCACTGGAATCTCTTCCTTGTTCAGTCTTATGCGGTAACACTTATTTTTCATTGCCAGAAAGTAAAACAAAAATTAGGAAAATAATGTAGTAACTTGTGTGCATTTTGATTACTACTGATTCATCGTGAAGTGTGTTATCACTGAATGCAAGTGCTGTGAGCATACAACATATTACCATTTCATTTAAAAAAGTTGTTGTAAACCTCAGACATGAAATATGAACAAAGCATATCCCTCTATAGTGTGTACTTGTCTCAATCCAGAGCACTAAGTGTCATTTCTGTCTGCTGCTTCATTCCTGTGCTATCAGCATGAATCGCTTCTAACAGGTTATCCAGAACCCAAGAGAAAAAAGGTGACAGGTGAAGGACCTCCAGCATGCAGTGATTGACTGCCTCGGCTATGTTGCTGTGTGAAGGGGGGGTGTCCCTTCCCTCCAATCAGCTCTCAGAGCTGTCCTCACTGAGCTCTGCAGTGTGTAATTTCAGCTCTCCACCCCGTTTTCTGAAAGCTCAGACAAATTTATAATTTCTGGACTTTGAACAGATGTAGAGAAGAGAAGACTTCAGATACAGGTAGAGCTTATGTAGGAATATTTGTTTCTTCTCTGTATCACCAGTCGCTTCACTGGATACATGTAAGGTTTTACAACCACTTTAAATAGTGTGTCACATCTCACTTGTTTAGTGATAGTCCACTTCTCCAGAGCATCACTGGAGCCCATTGAAAAACACAAACATCTTGTAAACTGGTAACCTCTCTCAATTTTTTAGTTTTCATTGCTTCAGTGACCAATAAGCAATATAAGGGGGCATGAGCATGTCTATACAAATACTAACCTTCAGAAAATTTGCATTTATGCAGGAGCTTTCAAGGCTCCAGTGATAACTCATAGGGCAGCACAGTGGCTAAATGGTCAGCACTGGCACAGCCTGGCAGTACTAGGGTCACTGGTTCGAATCCCAACCACGGCACCACCTGCCTGGAGTTTGCATGTTCTCCCTGTGCCTGCGTGTTTTTCCTCCAGGTACTCCGGTTTCTCTGGTTTCCTCCCACACTCACTCCAAAGACATGCTGGTAGGTTAATTGGATCCTGTCTAAATTGGCCCAAGTATGTGCATGTTAGGAACCTTAGATTGTACACCCATTGAGGGTTAGGGACTGATGTGAATGTACGAGATATATATATATATATATGTAAAGCACTGCATAAATTGACGGCGCTATATAAGCACCTGAAATAAACTCCTGAAATAAAGTCTGTAGCATCTTATGGTGCTTGCTGTTTATTTGGAGCAATAGAATATTTTGTTTGATGGGTACAGATCTACAGGTGCTGCCTTTTACAGAATTTCTAAAGCAGCACACAGACAGAACATGAAAGTTGTAAAGGCATCATGTCTGTAATGGCAAGAAGGTTCCCATTGACTGACAGCTCTTCTCCCAAAGAAAAGTGGCACTCTGTTTACTTGAACGGATCACTTCCCCCCTCCCTTCTGTGATGAAATAAGCTTTGGGAAGTCCGCAGAACATAACTTGCAAATCTCAGCAGCTGGGAAGATTGTACTGTCCTAAGCGCAGTCAGATTGTCCCTGCATCTTCTCCTTCTACTGTCTATAGGCGTGCATAGGATACAATTTACTTTTGCTTTCTCAAAAGAGTTTACTGCTACATGTCAGTTTGTTCTTTTCAAGTGAATAATTGTAATAATTCATCTTAATTTTTGTTGTATTTTTATTTTTTGGGAAGCTTCCCATAGTTTGCTATGTGACATCAAATGTTATAGTCAACTAATTTTGTCAGAATAGCCGTGCATATCTATGGCAGTATGGGAAATGTGTCCTTGTCTAACATCATTCTGTTTTCAGCCTTGTTTCTTGAAATGTCCGACAGAAAATCATGTACTCACAATTTTATTGGATCAGTCTAACGTTGCCTCTTCCAAATTTCATGATAAGTGTCTGCCTATGAAGATTTTCAAGAGTCTCTTGTGCTTAATTGTTATTGGCCTTGATCATACATTTCATGCTTTTTCATAAAGAATTCAGCAAATCCATCTTTCTGTTCTCCAGAGAAATGGAGTTTTGAGTAAAACTTGCTGGATCAATGAGAACAAACTTTTTTATTTGGAATACTTGCAACACGGTTTAATGATACATACTCATAATTCTTTTTCAGTCTGATGATATTAAAACCCCTTTACAGTGCCACTGACTAGTCTGTCCATAGACAAATACTCAACAAAGATGCAACCATTTCCTCACATGAAACATTTTTCCACTTAACACCTTTCTTTTGATACATTAGAAGATTACAGTCAAAGTTTACAATCTACTAGTAGTAGTAGTAGCAAGCATTAAAACATTGTGTTGGGGATTCAACTGTACTAAGTTGTGAATGTTAACCATGAGGTAGAAGAAACAACCTACACTGATAACATTAGAATGGCAGGAATTATTTGCAAATACCAAATAAGCTATCTTATAACACAGGGGAGGGGTCCTCCTTGTATATGTACGTAGGTTGCCATCCAAGTAAATATAGGAAGGTTAACAAGGTCTAAGACAAAACTTAAAGTCCTTCTATAGAATTATTCAGAGTGTCAATGTTCTCTTTAAAAATGATCTATGTCAAAAAGTATGTTAAAAAAATAAACATACGTCAGTGTTTAACCACCTCCCACCCGCCATATAGTCCAATGATGGGCTTAAGGTGGTTCTCTTGTTCTGGGAGGACGTCATATGCCATCGTCCTATTCTCATCGAGCATGCGCGGCGATCAGCGGTGCGCTGTGTCCCTCGAACACAGCGGATCACTGATCACGGAAAGAGCCGAAGATGTCGGCTCAGTCATGTGATCAGCTGTGTCCAATCACAGCTGATCACATGTAAACAGGGAAATGCCAGTTATCGGCATTTCTCTCCTCTCGAGCTGTCATGCTGACAGCTCGAGAGGAGAGCCAGTAATCGGCTTTCCGCGGAGGGGACATGTACACAGCTTTCCACGGAGGGTACAAGGGCACTGATGATCAGTGTGCCCTGATGATCAGTATAGCCCCAGCAGTGCCACCTGTCAATGTCCATCAGTGCCTTATGTCAGTGCTCATCAGTGCCTCGTGCCAGTGCCCATCAGTGCCACATATCAGTGCCTACCAGTGCACATCAATGCCACATATCAGTGCCCATCTGGGCTGCCTTTCAGTGTCACCCATCAGTGCCAGTCAGTGCCGCCTATCAGTGTGCGTCAGTGCCGCCTATCAGTGCCATATATCAATGCCATGTATCAGTGCTGCCTTTCAGTGCCCATCAGTGATGCCTGTCAATGCCCATCAGTGCCACCTACCAGTGCCTCCTCATCAGTGCCCATCAGTGCCACCTATCAGTGTCCATTAGTGCCCACCACTGCAGCCTCATTAGCGCATATCAGTGAAGGAGAAAAATCACTTATTTACAAAATTTTATAACAAAAACTAAAACGTTTTTTTTTTTTTCCAAAATGTTCAGTGGTTCTTGGTTCAAGAAAAAATAAAAATCCCAGAGATGATTAAATACCACCAAAAGAAAGCTCTATCTGTCACAAAAAAATGATAAAAAATTTCATATGGGTACAGTGTTGTATGACCGCGCAATTGTCATTCAAAGTGCGACAGTGCTGGAAATTGGCCTGGCCACGAAGGGGGTCTAAGTGCCCTGTAGGCTAGCGGTTAATAATAATCAGATGATTCTTCCAGGTACAGAAAATCTGAATGATTATGATTTGTGTTTGTTTTATTAGCTGTAAAAAGGTAATGAGACATGAGATTGGCCAAAAAAATCCAAAAATATAAAGAATTACAGTTCTATGGTTTGTAATTGTTCCATGATAGATAAGCAGGGACAACAGTGACCAAAAAAAAATCAAATTCTATAGTGAAAAAAATGTTTTTTTAATCTTTCCCAAGTGAGTTCACTTTCAAATAAAATGTTTAGGGTATTTTAGACTGTCTTTTTGTCTGACTTGTCATGATGGTGAACACCATCTCTGCCAGCACACCAACCATCATGGTTAGTTTTGCTGGGACATTCATAATTGCTCAGTGCATGCTATGTTTGGATTCACATGGAGTATCCCGGGGCTAAGGGAGCAGATGGTTATACCGATCTCTGGAAGCTACAGCTGAGTTATTGGTTTTGGACTGCAACTCTCTGAGAACAGGGGGTAACGTGTATACAGGAGTAGAGGACCTGAAAGTTTGCATGGCTTGGTGGTCGTGTGATCACTCAGTGAGGTCCTCAGGGAACAGTAAGGCTCTCTTAATGAAGCAAGAAGCCCAACTCTTACAGGGCATATTTTTCCCCCTTGTAGCAGCATTATAGTAAATGGGAAGAATTTCATGGCCTGTCACTTTATAATAATTTTGCATACAGTCATGGTTCACTCTTTCAAAGATGCATGCACTTCTATGCCTACTTGTGTGTCCTTATTAACAGTTTTCAGTTTCTTTTACACATAGCAGAAATTTTGTATTTTGTCGGGTGTCATTTTTTTTAAATCTAGATTTGGCAAATATTTTTTGCATATTGTAGAAAATGGAAATGCAAAAATATAAGCTTTTTTTACCCTATAGAATAACTGCTTTTCAAATGCTTGCTTGCTTTAATAAATATTTACCTTTTATGTGTTTTACTGATACATGTGAACATTGGCTTGACAACCTGGGGTACAAAATGTGGGCAGGACTGTGGCAGTAAAACTTAAAAACTGTCTACCATGATGCATTGTATGAGAAAAAGTTTGAGCATGGCCTAGATACAAAAATACTTATATACCCCTAGAATTCAAATACTGTACATTGTGACATTGGCATACATTAGCTGCCATGGTTACTATGCAGAAGACTGGTTTTGAACCCCCTTTAAAAGTAGTCGCCCTTCACCAATAGATGTGGTGTCTGACTCCTGAATCTTTATACCAACCACTGGGCTTAGGTGAGCAGCAATCTTGATGAGCCCTGCCACAGCTGACATGATCCTTAAGTGTCCCTTGTCCTGAAGGATCTTCTAGTTCTTTTCGCTGAGTGGTCTGCAATTCTGTGCACAGGAAGGAAATTTTCCCAAGTCTCCAATATACGTAATGTGGTTTTGAAAACTGGAGTGCTTTCAACCAATAAAGGGAAATTTGATGCCTTTCTAAGACAAATACAGTGGGGATCGAAAGTTTGGGCACCCCAGCTAAAAATTTGTATTAATGTGCATAAAGAAGCCAAGGAAAGATGGAAAAATCTCCAAAAGGCATCAAATTACAGATTAGAAATTCTTATAATATGTCAACAAAAGTTAGATTTTATTTCCATCATTTACACTTTCAAAATAACAGAAAACAAAAAAATGGCGTCTGCAAAAGTTTGGGCACCCTGCAGAGTTAATATCTTGTACTGCCCCCTTTGGCAAGTATCACAGCTTGTAAACGCTTTTTGTAGCCAGCCAAGAGTCTTTCAATTCTTGTTTGAGGTATCTTTGCCCATTCTTCCTTACAAAAGTCTTCCAGTTCTTTGAGATTTCTGGGCTGTCTGTCACGCACTGCTCTTTTAAGGTCTATCCATAGATTTTCAATTATGTTGAGGTCAGGAGATTGTGAAGGCCATGACAAAACCTTCAGTTTACGCCTCTTGATGTAATCCCCCGTGGATTTCGAGGTGTGTTTAGGATCATTATCCATTTGTAGAAGCCATCCTCTCTTTAACTTCAGCTTTTTCATCAAGTTACCATCCAAAATTTGAAATTTTATTGAATCCATTTTTCCTTCTACTCGTGAGATGTTCCCTGTGCCACTGGCTGCAACACAACCCCAAAGCATGATTGATCTAACCCCATGCTTAACAGTTGGACAGAGGTTCTTTTCATTAAATTCTGTGCCCCTTCTTCTCCAAACGTACCTTTGCTCATTCCGGCCAAAAAGTTCAATTTTAACCTCATCGGTCCACAGAACTTGTTTCCAAAATGCATCAGGCTTGTCTATATGTTCATTTGCAAAGTTCAAACGATTTTTGTGGTGAGGACGTAGATGAGGTTTTCTTCTGATGACTCTTCCATGAAGACCATATTTGTACAAGTATCTCTTTATGGTGGAATAGTGTACCACAACTCCAGTGTCTGCCAGATCTTTCTGGAGGGATCGTGCAATCAAACGTGGGTTTTGAATTGTTTTTCTCACAATCCTGCGAGCTGTTCTGTCTGATATTTTTCTTGGTCTTCCAGATCTTGCTTTAACTTCCACTGTTCCTGATGACTGCCATTTCTTAATTACATTCCGAACTGAGGATATTGACATCTGAAAACGCTTTGCTATCTTCTTATAGCCTTCTCCAGCTTTGTGAGCGTCAACTATTTTCAGTTTCAGTTTTCTAGACAACTGCTTAGAAGAACCCATGGTGCTGATTGTTGGGGCAAGGTCAGATGAGTCTGGGCATTTAAAACCTTTGAGATTGACATCACCTGGTCTTCCCAGACGATGATTGAGAACAATCCATGACACTGGCAGGTCTCAGCTTTGCAAAGGGGGCAGTGCATGCTATAAATTCTGCAGGGTGCCCAAACTTTTGCAGACGCCATTTTTTTGTTTTCTGTTATTTTAAAAGTGTAAATGATGGAAATAAAATCTAACTTTTGTTGACATATTATAAGAATGTCTAATCGGTAATTTGATGCCTTTTGGAGATTTTTTCCATCTTTCCTTGGCTTCTTTATGCACATTAATACAAATTTTTAGCTGGGGTGCCCAAACTTTCGATCTCCGCTGTATATAGTCAATGTACTCAAACACATGGAGGACGAATCTTGGGGGGGAAAAGCCATATATAGATGCTAACAATTGGTGGGCCTAGTAACAGAACAGAAGAATTTGCATACAGAAACTATTCTGCAGCTAAGCTTCCGTAAGTCAGAAGATCTGAGTAGTTTGGCAGTCAACTATGTGGCCATACACTTTTATGGCAAAATCTGCTTTGCAAGCTTGGTTGGGTACAACAGAATTGCATACACAGGAAAAAAAAAGTACATTTGTTAATTGGTTGCATGTACCATTCCAGTGATTTGAATACCTATCATTGTTAGATATTCACCTAACTGATTATATGATATGGACTACTTAACATAACAGGCTTACTTAATTTATGATTTGCCATAATAGCTTGTATATGTAGATGTTTCCGTAGTAAAAGGAACATTGAAAACTATTGTGTATAGAATATAATTTTAATATGAAAAATTGGAACCCCACAAATTTAAAATAGTTACAACCTTGTCGCATGGAGTATGCAATGCTATCTTCAGAAGAAAATATGCACATATCTTAATAGGTTTATTGGCTTCCTGTGATAAGAGTGTGTCAGATATATTGTATTTCAGGAAATGGATATCAGAGTATGAAGTCCTTCTGGGTTCCTGATGGGTCACACTCTAAGCCGAGAAAATTTGTGTTTTTTTTGTTTTTAGTACAAAAACTGCTGAACAATTGTGCTTGTAAAGTTGCATCATATTTTTTTGTATGAACAGGAAGACCTGGTATGATCTCTTTGGATTATTTTTGGATAATAAGGATATGGTGTAGTGTCAGTTTAAGTCTATACGCATTCAATACTAAAGTCCCTATAGTCTGTTTTTCATGAATTGTTTCTTACTATGTTTTTCTGCTTCCTTTTATAACTTCCTCCATGAGCTTTCAACTCTCATTTTCCCACTCTCTCTTCCATTTGTTTGGAATGAGCAGTGCACTTTAGTTACAGTCGAGTACTGCTATATGCATACCACAAATCCTACAGTCCCTAATCCAACTTGAGAGGGAGCAATAGAGGGTGGCTATATTCCTACCTACAGTAGGGCGATGGAGAAACCTATGTAGCCACCGTCTAACAGGAAGTTGAATCAGAGCAGCACAAAAAAGGAGTTTGGAGATCTGGAGAAGAGAAGTAGAAGGTACAGCAGGATTGAATGAGGATTGGTAAGCTTTGTGAATCAACAGGGCTCTACTGCATTGCACAGTTCTGCCCACATTATACTGGAATCTTGCATAGAAGGGAGGGGGGCGGTAGGCAGATGATGACCTCAAAGTACTGCTCTCTTTTGCCAATAAGGAAGCATGACATAAGTGATCATTTTCCTATAGTTACCTATGAAGTTAGAAATACCACCACCATGATGTAGGGAAGGGAGGAGGGGATGTTTTGTGTGTGTTGGACAGCAAATCTGCTTAGAGGTTACTGCTTCTGCTTGGCGGCACTAAGGCTTTCAGTTCCAATCCCAATCATGACATTATTCCTGTGCTTGCATGTGTTTCCCCCCGGGTACTCTAGTTTCCTCCCACACTCCAAATACATGCTTGTAGATTAATTGGCTCCTTTCTAAAATTAGCCCTAGT